TTAAAGAGGAAATTAACACATTAGTGAGAAAAGATGTTAGCCCTGGCAACGTAGAGTCCGTATGGGTAAAGTTGAGAAATACTAAGGGGCAAAAAACATTATGGGAGTCATATATAGACCCCAAACCGCAGTGACATTGGCAATGGCATTAAACAAGAAATTAGAGATACATGTGATAAGGGAATATCAGTGATCATTGGTGATTTTAATCTGCACACGGATTGAGCAAATCAAATCAGCCAAAATGCCGTACAGGAGGAATTCCTGGACTGTATATGAGATGGCTTTCTTGAACAATATGTGGAGGAGCCAGCTCGAGGGCAGGCTATCTTACTGTGTATCAAGAGGAGAATCATTGCCCATCTGGCTGTGCGAGACTCCTTGGGGGATGAGCGACCATAACATGAGAATTTTTTTTAAAATTGAGATGGAGATTGAGGTTGTTGATTCAGAGACTAGGGTGTTGAATCTTAATAAAAGGAAACTATGAAGGTATGAGGTGCAAGTTGACCTCGATAGATTGGGGAAAGTTATTTAAAGAGATGACAGTGGATGCACAATGGCAAACATTCAAGGAATGCATGGGAGAACTGCAACAACTGTCTACTCCTGTCTGGAACAAAGTAAAATGGGTAAGAGGGCCAATCTGTGGCTTACAAAGGAAATTAGAGATAGTATCTGAACTAAGGAAGCAGCACACAGATTGGCAAAGCAAAATAATATGTCTGAGGTTTGGGAGCAGTTTAGAATTCAGCAAAGAAGGATAAAGGAATTGATTAAGAGGAGGAAAATACAGTCTGAAAGTTAGCTTGCAGGGAACATAAAAACTGACACAAAGAGTTTCTATAGGTAGGTGAAGACTGGTGAATACAAATTTAGGTCCGCTACAGACAGGAATGGGGAAACGTATAAAGAGGACAAAGAAATTGCTGAGCAGCTGAATACATTCTTGAAAAACACTGGAGGAACACAGCAGGCCAGGCAGCAGGGGAGCAGGAAAGCTGACGTTTTGGGTCGGGATCCTTCTTCAGAAAATTTCCTGCTCCTCTGATGCTGCCTGACCTGCTGTGTTCCTCCAGCTCCACACGGTTATCTCAGACTCCAGCATCGGCAGTTCTTACTACCTTTGAATACATACTTTGGTTGTCTTCACAAAAGAGGACACAAATCAGATACCAGAAATGTTGGAGAAGGCAAGATTTAGTGAGAGGGAGGTCAACATTAGTAGAGAAAAGGTGCTGAGAAAACTGATGGGATTGAAGGTGGATAAATCCCCAGGGCCCAGAGTCTACAACCCACAGTACTTAAGGAAGTGGCTCAGGAAAGAGTGGATATGTTGGCGATTATCATGCAAGATTAAAGCGCATGGGATGGGGGAGGTGATAGTGTATTGAGATGGAGAGCGAATTGGCTGGCAGGGAAACAGAAGGAACTAATGGGTCCTTTTCAAATTGGCAGGCAGTAACTAGTGGGGTGCCACAGGGATCCCTGCTGGGACTCCAGTTATTCATAATATATATACTAATGATTTGGATGAAGGAACAAAATGTAATATCTCCAAGTTTGCAGATGATACCAAGTTAGGTGGGAGGGTGAACTGTGACGAGGATGCAGAGATCCTTCAGCATGATCTGGACAGGTTGGGTGAGTGGGCAAATCAATTGCAGATAAGGTTTAATTTAGATAAATGGGAGGGTATTCACTTGGAAGCAAAAACAAGGCGGCAGATTACTCCCTGAATGGCTGTAAATTGGTAGAGAGGTGTGTGCAGTGGGACCTGGGTATCCTTGTGCACCAGTCGCTGAAGGTAAACATGCAGGTGCAGAAGGCACGTAAAGAAAGCAAATGGCATGTTGGCCTTCATTGCGAGAGGTTTCGAGTACAGGAGCAGGGATGTGTTATTGCAGTTATACAGGGCCTTGGTGAGGCCACACCTAAAATAGTGTGTGTAGTTTTGGTCTCCTTTTCGGAGGAAGGATGCTCTTGCTCTCCAGGGAGTGCAAAGGTTTACTAGACTGATTCCGGGGATGGCAGGACTGACATATGAGGAGACATTGACTGGGTTAGGATTGTTTTCGCTGGAGTTCAGATGAATGGGGTGGCGGGGCGGAATCTCAGAGACTTATAAAAATTCCAACAGGCATAGGCAGGTTAGATGTAGGGAGGATGCTCCCGAAGGTGGGTGTGTCCAGAACCAGGGGTCACAATCTGAGGATTCAGGGTAGACCATTTAGGATGGAGATGTTTCTTTACCAAATGAGTGGTGAGCCTGTGGAACTCATTACCACAGGAAGTAGTTGATGCCAAAACATTGAATGCATTCAAAAGGCAGCTAGATATAGCACTTTTGGGGTGAATAGGATCACCGGTTATGGGGATTAAGCAGGATTGGGCTATTGAGTTGGAGGATCAGCCACAACCACGATGAATGGCTGAGCAGGCCTGAAGGGCCAAATGGCCTCCTCCTGCACCTACCTTCTGTGCTTCTAAATGGGATTTAGTTCAAGTTAGTACACATGCTTGGTTTTGAGAGATATCACAGTTTTATGGCGGGTAATGTCCTGAGAGCTTAACCAGGACAGCCTTCAAATAACCAAGTTACAAGGTATGGGTGAGGTGAGGGTTTCAGAACGGTTAGCAATGTTTCAGAGGTAGAAATACTATAGGCTATCTCAGCGATGTGGACAGTTGACATCATGGTGAAATACTAAAATTTGGATGGTCTGGTTCAGCCTCAGATGAAAAGGGAAAGGACTGAGTCAGTAATGAGGGAGCAGGACTTGTGGCAGGTAGCAGATATTGGTTTTGGTATTCTCAACATTGACTTAGAGGAAATTTCTGTTCATTCATCGAGAATGTCGGACAAGCATTCTGACAATGCAAAAACAGAAGCAGTACCAAGAGAGGTGGTATAGTTGCTGTTGTATGCGTATACGTGTAATTTGATGTATTTGGGAACGATGTTTGCCGAGGGGAAAATATGCATATGAAAAGCAGGAGCTGGCAAGGACAGGTCAAATCACTGGAAAAAGTAACACAAGCAAAGGTTTGTGAAACATCACACTAGTCAAACTGTGACATGCAATCTATACATTAAAACCAAATAATGTTACATCACCGAATACACACCCAAAAACACGTTTCATAACAAACCGCATCTCAGCTACTGCCGCTGATCAAGGGTGTATTCAGGTTTAGGTAATGATATGTAACTTACATTCAAATAATCTTTTATAAACATCTAAACCCAACTTAAATTTATTTGCATGGTTGAAGGCAATCGTAACCTTATACACATCTCTCCAATATTTAGTTCAGTGAGTCTACTGGATCAAAGCACAATATATGGCTGCCAAATATTATGCCATGCCCAATGGCAACAAACTACCTGAGTCGACTTCAACAGATTCTACAGCAACATAACATTAATTCATTCCTCATTAAATAATGCAACTAATAGACAAAGTTAGCTTTCTGTACAATAACTAAATTAATGTAAACTAATACTAGAAAAAGTTTTCAAAAAGACTAACGAAAAAATTGGTTTTATTTGTTTGTACCACTCACATCCAGTTATGTCACTTTAATTGTGAGCCAAATGCTGCGCTACTACCATGGCTCCTGGTGGCAACTCTAAAGAAAACATGTTAAATTTGTTGAGGCTAGCTGCTGGGCAAATTCAATAACAAAAAAACATGTTTTAAGTTGGATTTTTCCAGAGGTCAACCATAACAAAATGTTAATTTTATGCTGTGTTCAGTTTTGCCATTACGAGGTAGCAGCACTAATAGGAGTTTTGACTATTGTAAATCAAGCTGTTCTGCTTTTATACAGACTAGACTCTAGTCAAGACAGGGGAACAGGGATGAGAGATGGTAACCATCATGCATTCCTTATCTCAGCAGAACTGTAGAGCTAGGTTCAAAGATGTACATTTATTATTCTAGGTCTTCTAGTTGACCAGAGATTGAACTGTAAGGAAGCAGTTACCCATCACCACAGGACTGTGGTCTGGGTTTCATATGAAGCATAGCTGAGAAAAGTGAAGTGTCCAGCTTGCAATTTTCTGTCCAATGGGCAGAACTTTACAGATTGACATAAATAACTTTTAGAGATACTGCCAGGCTCATTTCTTTACACTGTATAACCACTCTCTGCTCAACATATTAAGTAACAGAAGAACCAATTTCTAATTATCATTCAGTAAATTCAGTTCCATTTTTATGCAGACAAGACAGATTTTACCCATGCTAAAAAGTCATAGGCATAAAAATTACTGCACAGTAAAATACAAATTTGATGTATGGGATAGTTAATTCTAATAGGGTAGTCATTACAGCTCAATTTATAGCTCATCTACTGTAAAAGTCAAGCAATGCTTTATTTCATATCAATACTGAAAAATTTTACATCATAACATGGGGTAGGTTATGAACAATAGTTAGATTGGTGTTTCCTTGAATTTGACATATTCTAACTTTCCTACTGCAATTGCGACTGATATTTAACACAGTTATCTAGTCCAAGTATATGGTGACAAGAACAAAATCAGTTTCAAAAACACAAGTTGCTGGAAAAGCTCAGCAGGTCTGGCAGCATCTGTGAAGAAAAATCAGCAGTAAATTTTCAGGTCCAATTACCCTTCCTCAGAACAAAATCAGTTTTCCCTGGTATTCACTAATTCCCTTAAATAACAATATTCAATTTAGTAATTAGCATATTAAAACAACAATCCTAATACATTTAGACATGTTCTAGTAACTGCAACAACCTTTGGCAACGTTGAGAGCATGCATTTTCTTTAAGAGCAATAGGCATTGTCACTAAAGAGGAAACAATTATAGGCAGGTTCAGTGATGTGCTTAGAAAATAGAGAATGGTATGTTATGAGGGAATGTATTATCAGTTACAGTTCAATATAAAAATGGTTTTCTAAATTTATGACAACAATGCAATGCAGCATCCTAGTTTGTTTATAAAAGCTATTTTAAAATATAATGTTATGCTGTGTTTTATTTTAATGCACTTAGATTGAGCAAAACACTGTGCAACATTAGGATTTAAAGTAACATCCCAATTTTATACATTACCAATAAAGTTCAAGATATCGACTAAATGACTAACTTAAAAAATGAGTGTTTTTTGATTATAATAATAAAACATTTCACAAGAGGAAAATTGCAGAAATGCCAGAAATGCTGAAACCCCAGGAGCTTTTTGGTCAATTTTGAGCGTGCTCGTAGTTCCATATTTGGAGGCTTTCCCGTTGTAATTTTTGTTCCAAACAGCTACTTCACTGACAATACCATGGACTGCAGGCTATTCTTGTTGAATATCTTCTACGATATGATTTTTGAAACCTGATCTTTTGATTCACATTGTCCTCTTGGACTAGAAAGGATGGAGGAAAAGCTCAATAAGTCATAGACTATTAGTCTAAAGGTCAGTTGTGGGAAAGTTAACAGGGACAGTGATCGAACAATTGGACAACTATGAATTGATGAGAGAACCGCTCTGAACTCAAAAAAAATTCATGTCCAATGAAACCTGCTGTACACTTTGAGATCAATGTGAAAGCCGAGGAATGTCTTCTGATGCTATTTACATGAACTTTCAGAGGCAGTAATTAAGGTTCCGTGTTGCTTCCATTTTAATAATAACCTATTAATGCAGATAGACAATTGGTTAGGAAGTAGCAAAGTAGGGTTATTGGATTATGTATTCTAACTTGGAGGAAGTGACAAGCAGAGTCCCCAAAGAATTGGTATTGAGATCGCAGTTTTTCACTGCACAACTGTCAGATGTGACTCAGAAAGCACTTTTGCCTTTGTATGAGGTTGCAGTTAGACATTTCACTCAAGATGTGGACACACTGTTGGAAGGCTGCAATGTTGGAGGTGCCACATTTCGAATGAGACATTAAACCAAAGTCCAATCGGCCTTTCTCGTTGATGCAAATGTTCTAGGAACAATATTGACCCTTCCACCAACATTATTAAAACAAAATTTTAGCCTGATCTGATGAGATCAGATCTCAATCTTTAACAAACTTTATGTTAAACCACGAGGACATCCAGAGGAGAATCAATTGTTAAATATATTTTTCAAAATGGTATTAAGCTAATGGCTTTAATCTAACCGTCTGAAACATTGTGAAGTTGCAGCACAGCTCCTAAAGAAACCAAACATCTATATGCACAAATACCATGAATGAATACAATAAATTATGGATTTTGCACAAAATACCTTTTTAATACAAGCTATTTAACATTCTATAAATGCACAAAAATAAAAGAAAATGCATGCAAGACCATTAACATCTCCATAGCTATTACACTAAAAAGCATTATCTGTCTTAATTTAAGATAGCCAAGATCTTTTCCCCAGGGTAGCAGAGTCCAAAACTCGAGGAAAAAGGTTTAAGGTGAAAGGGAAAAAGATTTAAAAGGGACCTAAGGGACAACTTTTTCCACAGATGGTGGTGCATGTCTGGAATGAGCTGCCAGAGGAATCGGAGGAGGCTTCTACAATTATAACATTTAAAAAGGCGTCTGGATGGGTATATGAATAGGAAGGGTTTAAGAGGGATACGGGCCAAATGCTAGCAAATGGGACTAGATTAATTTAGGGTATCAGGCCCCATGGACAAGTTGGACCATAGGGTCTGTTTCCATGCTGTACAGATCCATGACTATGACTCCATTGGTGCTTAGTTATTTTAAAGTATTTTATTTGAGAAATATGCTACACTGTTGAATAAATTTCTGATTAAGAGCACTACTTGAGCTCCAAGGCAGTACACATAATATTGGCTCTTGGATTTATTCCCTCACTCCCAAAAAATGAGTATGCTCAATGTAATTTATGTATTTGTACTGCTAGTTCGTGTGCACCATTCAAAAGGACAAAAGCAAACATCCAACATTACATTTTCATTAAATCTTTGTGATAACAGTACTACAAGTGCAAGTGAACCTATCATGTCCGTCACTGTACCAACTGAATGAGACATGGGTTAAGGCTACAATGGCACAGTTACTGAATAATTTCCAAAAATGAGCATTGTTTTATTTGGTTGTCTGCATTGATTTTTTGCCTTCTTCCCTGAAACCACGCAGCCAAAATATGGTGAAGCTATTCTTGATGTGCCAATTTAGATGATAAGCATTCTAACATTATAGCTGATTATATTTTCACGCAAAATATATGCAGGCAGACAAACTGCAACACATTTCTCAATCCAGAATGGCAGAACAAATCTACTGTTTTCCTCATTGGAATGGCTTAATAAAATCCTTAATTTATTGTTGTAATCATTTGCGGTATTTGTGCACATGGATCTTGGGTTTCTTTGTGAAATTTCAGCGCAGCTCCAAGATTTCAGCTAGTCAGATTAAAGCAATTAGCTCAAAAAAAAACATTTTGAAGAATATATTTAACAACGGATTCTCCTCTGGGTGTCCTCATGGTACTTTATGTTAAAGTACCACAAAAGGTAGTGTATTTGTCCAGTGCACCATTAGTGGAGCTCTGCTAGTTTTCAAACAGTCTGACAGGGAGTAGGAAATCAAACTTAAAATGAGCACAAAAAAGCACGAAAACCAGATGCCTAGAATCAAAATATCAATAAAGTGCTCTTTTTTAAAAAAAAAAAGGATTGTACCTCTAATGCTATACAGAACATTGATGAGTCCACATCTGGAGTACAATGTAAAGCATTTGTCTCTTTAGTGAAGGAAAGATGAAAATGTATTGCAAGCAGTTCAGAGAAAGCTTACTAATGATGGGAAGGGGAAAGTTGTTTATTGGGTTCGTATCTTTAATTTAGAAGAGGAAGATGCAACTTGATAGAAACGAAGGGGTCTCTGAGTGATGCACACAAAGGATATTTCATCTTAGAGACTCCAAAATAAAGGGTTGCAAACCTAAGGCACTGGAGCAGAATTTTCTTCGTTCAAAGGCAAACAGTTTGAAATTCTCTTCCTCAAATTGCAATGGAAGCAAGATTTTTAAGGCAGGGGTAGATGGATACTTGATAGAAAAAAAAGGAGGTTGGCAGAAATGAGAAGTAATCAGGTTGCCATGAGTTTATTGAATAATATAGGAAACACAAGGGGTTGACTGGCCTACTCCTGCTCCTAACTCCTGTGTTTGCATTTTATTTTCATTCAACTCCTCCATCCAACTCAATAAATCTCAGTTTTTCAAAACTGAAATTGGTATACAATGTCAAAACAAATCAGGTAGTTGGTAGAGAGGATAGAATGAAATAGTTAAATTATCATTCGTCAAACTTAAAATGGTTTCTATTGAAGCTTCAATATGCCAAAAAAAAAAGCACGTCCTGTTCTTACCTGTAAAGGTAACAGAGTGTTGCTATTGTTGTCCGTCCTGAAAACATTGTCTTCGATCCAAGATTTTGGTGGCAGTGTTGGAGCTGACCGAGGAAATTTGGGCGGTGCTATAATATTACTGGAAAAAGGTTTCTTCAGTGGAGAGATTTGGTTCATGGTTGTTGGCATTCCTACACCTCCAGATCTGCGGTGATCCCTTGTCTGCATGCCTCCCCAGGACACTCCAGCACTCCAGCCACTGCTCTGGTGGCTGTTCCATGGAGACTGTTTCATTATGGGCTGATAATATTAAACCATAGATTATAAATACATAAACATAAATGCATATATGTACAAATACATAATTTAGCAATAAGACATTTTTATTTTCAAAAGTTGGAGCATCATAATACAAGTTGGGAATGAGCTCAGTTTGTCTCCAAGGTTATAACCTTAAATAATTAGTGCACGGGCAGTATTTTCATTAATACATTTATCAAAGCCTTTTTATTTACCGAGAAAAATCTACCAACTGCTATAACATAAAATAGATTTTTCAAAGGACATTTTATGTTTAAAAGATATCCAGGGCAGTTAAATACTGATCTGTCAGTTATGAGAAAAATAAGATATCCAAATGTTCTCTGGAAGACTGTCATGATGTTTTAAAATTCAAGACAGACATAGAATGTACAATGGGCAATAGAAATAGGGTATAAACAATAACAACATAATTAAATGCTAAGCCTATAATCGGTAAAACGTAGAAATATTTTTATATTTCCTAACACGACGACTGCAGAAACTTGACACATCATAGGGATGAAAAATGCAACTTCTAATCTATCCAGATTAAATTTAAACACTCTGCTGCCAATATGAAATACAGATAGACCTGGGGGATTCCAGATTTCCCCAGATGATGTTCCATAACAATATAGCAGTGATGAAAGCATATTCAAACATTATGGAAAAGGTCCAAGCCTAATCCAAAAAGGTTTGCCCAACACAAACAGTTCTACTGTATTTATTACCAGCTGACCAGTTTTTTTTCTGGCTGTCGTGCAATAGAATTTTTTCCAATCCCCACTGTCTAGCTATTTCTCTTTCCGCATAACAGACTGCATTTGCAGTTATCCAGTGTAGTTGAAAACATATTGCACTATTTCAACTTCAAGAAGCATGGTTTTATACAACATGGTCAAATTATGTTTAAATTATCAGATTTTAATGATTTGAACATAGAATTTTATGCAATGCTGGCAAAGAACGTTGCTCCCTATTTTAAATGACCAGGGAGAACTGAAAACAACCTTCAGTCTGTACATGCAATAAACTGCACAGTAATTTTCCACTGCTACTACATTCCTGCATCATACCCCTTCTGTTCATCCAATACTCTGTAGTGTCAGGCTGAACACCGCACCGATATTTCTGAAGAAATTTAGGTGATATTTAGTTCATTGGTAATGGAGCATAAATTATTTTTCCTATTTAGGAAATTAAACGCAAAATCGCGATTGGGTAACAACATTCAAGCAAATTCCTGAATTGCACACAAGAATTAGTATTTTGCAAATATATTTATTTAGGTTTTTGTAAATCAGATCATCTAACTTCGACTAAGGTGTGGCTGCAAAACGTCAGAGAGATCCGAGGGCTTCTTTTCGAAATCTTCTCCAAGCGTTGACACCTTTCACACTGCACCAAATTAAAGAAAACAGTAAAACGTATCCAGACTCCTGGGGACTCCCCACGGCTCCCAGCACTTTACAGGAAAGAAATACTGTACATTGGCAAAGTTCAAGCTGCCATGGGAGACAGCACGGCAACCGGGAGAAAACGGGGTTAGGGGGACATCAAAATGAGATGGATTTAGAGAGAAAATTCAAATCCATATCCATATTAATCAAATCTGGAGATAAAAGCGTGCGGAGACTGTCCTTGTACACTGACCAGCACCGACACACTATCACGCTCAGTGAGTCAGTCGGGGGCACGAACACGGGGAGCCGGTCACTGTTGACTCTGAAGGCGAGGTTGGCTCCGCATGCCCTTACCCGGTGGAGGTGGGTAATAAAAAATTGAGTTAGGTCAATTGGATCAAATAGATATGTGATGCAAAATTGTACTAACGGTGGTGGAGTTCAATCTCTCCACAGGCTCAGGCAGCGCTTTGGAATAAAATAAAAACAAAGCGCCGCAGAAACTTGGCGGGTCTGTGGAGAAGGGAACCATTTGAATTTGGATAGGACTCTTGTTGGGCAGCCAGTTGTCAGAGGGTTACTCCATGGTGATATCAGAGCATAAAGCATCACAAACAGCCCTGACAGGGGGACATTACAAGACAGACAGACAGACAGGGAGAAAGTCTATTTTAGGTTGATGACTAAACGTCATTTGATCCAAAAGCGGTACCTGATGGTGGTTGTAGGTGCTCCTCTGATGAGGGAAAGCGGCCTGGTGTTGGGGGTGATGGTGGTGGTGAAGGCCGACAGGAGACCGCCGGCTCTGCTGTTGCTGCTGCTGAGGTAAAGGGGAGAAGTTGGTGCCTCCTCCTCCGCCGCCGTAACCCTGGCTCATCCCGGCGAAACTCTGAAAGAGGACCGTGCCGTTAATGGAAGGGATGCCGTGGAAGAAGCTGTCTTCAGCGGGGCTGGGCACCGGGCAGGTTCCTGGGCCGGCGGCCGACAGCCCCGGGGTATTGGCGGCGGCAGCAGCAGAGGCGACCACTCCAGAGGCGGACGGCGTGCTGACCTGGGCGGCGGGAGCCGGCGACCAGGCGGTGCCGAAGCCGGTGAGAGCGGCGACCGGAGACGGCGAGGAGCCGTTACTACTGCTACTCCCTCCGCTGCTGTTGCTGCTGCCACCGCCGGCGGAACCTCCACCGCTGCCGCCGTCCTGGTGATGGTGGAGCTGCTGCTGCTGCTGTTGTTGCTGCTGAAAGCCGGTGCTGAGTCCCGGTAACATCCCGATCCCGCCGCCGCCGCCATTAGCCGCCGTCATGTTACCGGGAGACTCCATCAGCCTGTGGCCGCCGCGGTGCTGCTGGCTGCTCTCCGCAAACTTCAGAGCGGCATCGGTGGAGGAGAGTCTGTCCCTGTCCCCGCCTCCCTCCTCCTCCTCCCCCTCCCCGGGGCTGGTAGACTGGGGGCGGCCTCGGAGCTGAGAAAGAGGAGGAGGATGATGATGATGATGATGACTCGGTTTGGTCAGGATGTATGGACACTGGGTGATGGTGATGTCTCCCGCCTCCTCTTTCTCCTCCTCCTGCCGATCCTCTCGGCTACTGAAGCCACGGGCTGACGGTGCCGAGACCGACCGGCTGGCGGAGGTTGCAGCCGAGCAAGTCGTGCCGAGGCTGATGTCGGTCGTCCTGTCCGGCATCAGAAAGTCATCATCCTGCATAATAAGGAAAGGACTGGTTGTTTGTGGAGCCGGGAGGGAGGAGAAGTTGACAGAGAGAGAGAAAAAAAACACAGAAGAGGTGGAGAAAGAGGAGGCGGCGCCGGCCCCAGCCCCGGGGAGGGACGGACGGATGATTAAAAGAAGTTAAACAGGGGCCCGGGGTTGGGATACATCAGCGCCGCCGTTAAAACCGGTTTAGGACATTGGGTGAACACAACCCCTCTCCCACCGCCCACGGGCCGGTCGGTGTGCTCGCCAATCTTTAATCGCCCATTTGCGAAAAGGCGTGCGATAAACCGAGTCCGGTTTAACACCGGCAGGGGGAGTTCATTGCAGTTTCCACCTGGCGCCGCGGGTGCTTACGGTTTATTTCCTACCGACCCTATCTTATGGATACGATGGGCCGTTTAAAGAGTGTGCCTCTCCCGCCCCATTGCCCTCTCTCTCTGCTGACTCTGCTCTTTCGCATCCACCCACTGACCCCACCCCGCGAACGCAAACCGGCTGTTTCCAGGCTCCCCACCCCGGTGTGTGTTTTGCGTGTCGCGCATGCGCACTTCTTCGGACTCTGTCGGTTTCGAGACGCCCTTGAGGTCATTTTGGCACCGGCGTCATCGTCACGTGGGAGCACGCGCGGCGCGCCGTGGGAAAACAAATCCCCGGGAGGTTTAACCGTCTGTGTGCCGGTGGGAGACCTGCGTGCAGGGGGTAATGGCGTGGTTTGTTATCAGGAGTAACTGTATTGGTTAATCTTTAGCTGTATCAGTGCTGAAGATTGCGACGAGTTGTTTAATCTGATTCATACGTGACATGCTCCTAGGCAAACCTCTCAATGGACTCGTTAATATCAAACCATCTAAGTGAAACAAAAACAGAAATTGCTGGAAAAACTCAGCAGCATTGGCAGCATCTGCGGAGAGAAATCAGAATTAACGTTTCGGGTGCAGTTCTTCAGAACTCACCTAAGTGAAGCCTTATAGCACTTTCCTAGACCATCATGCAAGCACATCCCAGACTCAAGCTCTGGTTCGAAAAGAGAGTATTAGGCCTTCAGGCTATAATACTAGCTGAACTGATTTGCGACTGTCTAAATATGGTGTGGTTGCTTTGTCCTTCCACTTCAAGTGAGCTTTTAAGTATTTGGATTACTGGGAACAGGTGGGTACATTACTTAAGTTTTCTTCGTGATGGTCATAAAGCTAAAGTTGTCACATCATTGGAGAACATCTCCATGCTACTTTGAATGCACAGCTCTGAACTGACATCTGGTGTAGTGTCATCGGCAAACAATGAAATTGTGATGTATATCCTTGGAGACCTCTCTCAGCCTGAAAATGTCTTAGATTGAGCACTTCCCATCCATGTGATATCTGATTCTCAATTCCAGAATCACCATTATGGAAGGCAACAAAGAGCATAGTAGCAAAAGATTTGTTGAAGAGGGTTGGCACTAGCCTACAGTTCCAGTCCATTTTCAACTAGAATGGGCCAGAGCCCTGCCACTATCTTGCCAAGCGTAAGAAACTACAGAGAGTTGTGAACACAGCCCAGTCCATCATGGAAGCCAATCTTCCATCTATTGACTCCAACTATACTTCTCGCTGCCTCGGGAAGGCAACCAACATAATCAAAAACCCCTCCCACCCTAGTTATAATTTCTTACGTCGGGCAGAAGATACAAAAGCTTATACGCCGTACCAACAGATTCAAGAACAGCTTCTTCCCCTCTTATCAGACCTCTGAAATTTTAAATTTAAATGTTGACCTCGCTCTTTGTGCACCTTCTCTGCAGCTGTAACATTGTATTCTTCACTCTGTTCTGCACTTTGTATGGTATCTGCCTGTACTGCACATAAAACAAAACTTGCACTGTGCCCAGGAACGTGTGACAACAATAAATCAAGTCAAATCAAAAACTGTTGAACCATGGTGGAATTTCTCAGGGAAGCTGAATTTCTTTAACATCCAAAGGTCCTTACGCTAACTATGTTAACAAATATCGTGTAGATGTCTATGTGCTGTTCTATCTGCATGATCCCCCATGTGGATCAGGTCAAAGCTCTGCAGTCCTGCCACATCGAATAAGGAATGGATAAATAAACAATAAGCTAGAGGAGGAGGCCGCACAAATAGTTCCACCCCCAATATTAGCAGAAACCAGGTCATTTGCAGGTCAGTGTAAAAGATGAGCCTGAAGAATTCGCATTTATATTGTCTGACGTCACAAGTAAATGATCAACTCAGCCTTCTCATGAAGCCCCCAGCATCATAGGTTCCTGTCTTCAAACAATTTGATTCAGTCTATTTCAGCTGTAGGCATTGGACGCCTTTAAAGCAATGGGACCTGACAACACTCCAGCTCTAGTATTGAAGACTTGTGCTTCTGAACTATTTACATACCTAGCCAAGCTGCTCCAATCCATGTTCAACACTGGCATCTACCCTGCAATGTGGAAAATACAAATCTAATCTGACCACTTACCACCCCATCAGTCTACTTTCAATCATCAAATTGTTCGACGTGTCTTTGACAGTGCTGTCAGTGGCACTTACTGAGCAATAACTTGCTCAATGGCGATAAGGTTAGGTGTTACCAGACTCCAAACTTAATATGGCCTTGGACCAAACATGATCCAAAGAGCTGAAATCAAAATGTTAGCAATGAATGACTGCTTTTGACATCAAGGCAGCATTTGACTGAGTGTTATATCAAGGAGACCTTGCAAAATTTAATTCGTTGGGAATCCGTGGAAACTGCCCACTGGTTTGGCATATCTAGCACAGAAGAAGGTGAGTTTGATTGTAGCAGACTGATCATCTGAGTTCAAGGACAAGGTGAGGAATTTTTCAGGGTGGTATCCTAGGCTCAATCATCTTAAATTGCTTCATCAATAATTTTCCCTCTGATATAAGATTGGAACTGATGAACAGTGTTCAGTATTATTCACAGCTCCTCAGATACTGAAGCAGTTCATGGCAACATTTAGGATTGGGCACATAATTGGAAAGTAACATTCAAATGCTTTTTGTCATTTATATAAATGTTTTGGAAGTGACCACAGGAAGTATGGTTAGTAAGTTTGCAGATGACACCAAACTTCTGGGTGTAGTCGACAGCGAAGAAGTTGTAGCTCAAAGTACAACGGGACCTTGATCAGATAGGCAAATGAGCCGAGGAGTGGCAGATGGAGTTTAATTTAGATAAATGTGAAGTGCTGCATTTTGGAAAGGCAAATCAGGGCAGAACTTATACACTTAATGGTAAGGTCCTGGGGAGTGTTACTGAACAAAGAGACCTTGGAGTGCAGGTTCATAGTTCCTTGCAAGTGGAGTTGCAGTAGTTAGGATAATGAAGAAGGTGTTTGGTATGCTTGCCTTTATTGGTCAGTGCATTGAATATAGGAGTTGGGAGGTCAGGTTGCAGCTGTACGGGACATTGCTTAGGCTGCTTTTGGAATATTGCATGCAATTCTGGTGTCCCTGCTACAGGAAAGATGTTGTGAAACTTGAACGGATTCAGAAAAGATTTGCAAGGATGTTGCCAGGGTTGGAAGGTTTGAGTTAAAAGGAGAGGCTGAATAGGCTGAGGCTATTTTTCCTGGAGCATCAGAGGGTGAGGGGTGACCTTACAGAATTTTATAAAATCATGAGGGGCATGGATAAGCTAAATAGACAAGGTCTTTACACTGGGGTGGCGGAGTCCAAAACTAGAGGGCATAGGTTTAAGGTGAGTGGAGAAAGGTTACAAGAGACCTAAGGGGCAACTTTTTCACCCAAATTGTGGTGCACATATGCAACGAGCTCCCAGAGGACGTGGTGGAGGCTGGAACAATTGCAACATTTAAAAGGCATTCGGATGGGTATATGAATAGGAAGGGTTTGGAGGGATACGGGAGATTTATTTAGGATATCTGTTCGGCGTGGATGAGTTGAACTGAAAGGTCTGTTTCTGTGCTGTACATCTCTATGACTGTATGTCTCACAGGTGGCCGATAATGACCATTTTCCGCAAAAGAGAACCTAACCATCTTTCCTAGACATTCATCTGCGATAGTGATTTGATTCTAGTGATGACTGTCGCCATTACTGGTTGGAGAACTTGTTGGGAGTCCTGTGTCACGGCATTTGGAGGCCTGATGCTATTCAACTGCACTTAACTGGCCAGCATTGGGTCTTTCACACAACCATGCTTCCAAGAGCGGCCAGCCAATCAGAGTCTGTCAATTTTCCATTGTCAGCAACATCAACAAGAGCAGTACTTGCTGCTGGCAATGATCCAGTGCCCAACTGGAGGATGTCTGTGCAATCACCTAGGATGGGACAAGAAGGCGGCTGCTGGAGATAGAGTAATGGATTTGGAGTCAAGGACAGGGGGTGGCTTCCAATTGACTTCTGTTCATTCAATCAGGCGATGTGCCTGTCAGGAAATCTCCACCACATGCCTCAGGAAAACCATTGCTGGGCAGTTTTCAGTCACAACAGGGGACTCATACAAGTCCTGCTGTATTGCTGAGTTATCATTTTTTGTCATCAAATAGTGAGGGGGAGGGTTCAGGATAGAAGTGGGTGGGGGCCTAAATCAAAAAGGAGTTGGAAGAAATAAAGCACACTATCCCCCATATACCCACTTCTCCCCAAAGGAATCGAGAGCATTGATGGACACTGCTTGTTATCTTGCTGAGCTATCATTAAACCATCAGAATAAATTGGTATCAAGTGGCTCACTAATGAACCTGATTGGCATTCTGTAGGTTAGTCATTTCTTGATGTTCCAAAACCTGTTAATAGGCACTTGTGACATATTGGTAGTGTCCCTAGCTCTGAGCCAGGCATCAATTTCCATCTATTGCAATGCAAACAAAGTTAAGCTTTAATGTTAAAATACTTGTCAAACCAATGATACTAATTTAATTCTCAACCGTATTACTTCTCTGACTTTTGGTTTCCCTCTGGCTGAAAAAGTGATCTGTGATCAGGTTCAGACTAGCGTTCTCACTTATTTTTCCTCATAACTTTGTATGGTCCCATGTGAATACTTGATTCTAAAGACTAGCCTGAATTGATAATACACAGGTAAGAAAATTACTTATAGGATAAATCTCTCTCCGTGTATGGCAACATGTCATGGAGCTCTTGGATTACCTCCTTAGGGAAATAAAGCCTTCACACACCACTCCTAGGCCAAGTTCCAACAGCTGCAACGCAGTCAGTAACTTATGATATTCAAATGTAGATGGATAGGGAACAGATACTTTCAGTACAGCTGGACTTCTCTTCCTCTGTTGCTGCTCCTCTTCATTCTCAATCATTGCAAGTGATGAACCTCCTGGGAAATGCCATTTTTGGAATGATCAGCTGTAGATATTGATAGTAGAAGATACAAACGTTTTTCTTGCAGTACTCCGCAATTCAAGTGTTGTGGTTGGAGAATGGTGATGGCGAAGAACAACTATTTTATACAGTATTCTCCCAGTTTAGGCACACATCACTGCAAAATATAAGAAGAAGGGATATGAGAAGTTATGCTACTGTTTGCCAGCAATTTAAATATTCGCAAACTGCTAATTTCCCTGTGGGTGTCATCTCTTAAGTATGAGTGAGCATTGGATTCCCTCTTAATGGTTAGTTTCCCTAGGTCTGAAGGTTCTCCCAACAAGACCCATATTACCATTTAATAGTGCAGAATATTGCATAACTTGCAACAGGATCCATTTTCTTGACATTAGACGTATTTATAAATACCTTAACCAAATGTTGTATGTGAACTAGGTGTCACTTGTCGCCACTAAGATGCCACTTTCAAAATGAGATAGTCAGGCATAACCAGCATATTATCAAAAAAAAAATCAGCCATTACATACTCATTTCATCTGTGATAGATGACGTCTGTGCTCTCAGGGAGCCCTCCTGAAAAATGCATTCTCAAGGTCATTGCAATAGCAAAGGTCATTATAGCATAAACATGATATTGCTGTTTCAAATGCCTTGACGATATCAGGTGGGGCCCTGTCATACATTGCAATATGTGTCTCTTACATTGTGGTGCTCCTCTGTGAACTGCATAATTTATCGTTAGTCCAAGGTGTCCAAATACAGCAGTCAGTAGCAACCAGATACTCTGGGGAGGCAATGAAACAGCTAACCCACACCTGAAATCTCAGAAGCATCTGGATGGTGTGCAGATTACCAGGAACAGGAGAAGGCTCCTGATCTTACATGAGACTGTTGGCTATCCCAACTACTTAATCATAAGATCGTAAGGCCCTTCCTCCAAAGGCAATAATATGGCATAATGTACTGCTGCTGTTTGGAGGTCTAGTGCCTCCACTCATTCTCACCTCTATCCCTTTGTAGAAAATTAAACATTGTAAACTTCTGTCGAAGAATTCAATGTTAAATTAGATTGTTCTAATTTTCTTTAGATTCAAGGTTAACTCACTAGCCTGTCCACCTCTGGTAGTTGATGGTCTGATATGCGTGCCTTAATTAGGCATATTACAATGTTAGACTAAGGATCAGGGGTGTGGGAGACACAGGCTTTGAGAGTTAATGAAAGCTGAGCTTTTAGCCATTTTTAACAAGGCTAATGGAGAGACACGGAAGTACCAACAAAATATGGAGTGTCATAATTAGTGGTATAGCTCACACATGCCTTATATTGATTCTTTTGTACTGTTTCAGGATGCCTTTTCTGTGAATGTGCTATTAACCTTTCCTTGACAATTTAATTCTTAGCTTTACTGTAAAAACATGCAAGAGGAGTTGCTTCAAAAGGGCAGAGGGGTCAGAGGGCAGGTTATGTTGCAGGTCTTTACACAATTAAAGTCTCCCACAGCAGTCACACCACAAGAGTGATCATACACAGCTTTCATTAACTTCAAACACTGTTTTATTACAAGATGTTTCATACTTTCTGCAAGTAAACCTTAATAATGAATTATAACACAAATGTTTCTGATAGAGTAAATCTCAACTTAGTAATTTGAACAAATACAGGTTACAGCAAGTTTAGTAAAGCTTAACTAAATCCTAAGAAATGTAGTTTAATTACAAACAATTTTTATGATGATATTAAGTTCTGTTTAGAAATTTGAATAATGATTTACAATGAGAAACCTTTACTGAATAATGTCAGAAATCATTGGAAACAGGAATTACACTTATGTATACTTCAGAAAATGGTATAACCTTTGCGAAGTTTGACATTAAATAAAGATTTTATTTGATAGCAGGTGGCGATGGCATCCTCGAACTTCTCAAGTGCCTTCCTTACCAATGAACCTGTTTTGGAGAAATCATTTGGGTTTGTAAGTTCTGGAGTTGACACTGATGGTCTGAAGTTTGGCTGAACCTGGTTTTCCACTGCCCCATTTGTTGGAACCTCTTTGAATACCATGTTACACAACAAAAACAAATTTGCTATTCTTTAGCTTCTCTAGATGCTGCTTCGTAGAATCGTTGAATCCTTACAGTGCTGAAAAAGGCCATTTGGCCCATCAAGTCTGGACCAGCCCTGCAAGAACAGTCACAGTCATCGTTGACCTGAATAAGGGACAGATGTTGATACTGAGTCTGTACAGAGGACACTCGGGCTGATACCTGGTCTGATTGGAGAGTCACACCAACTTTGGGTCTGAACAGAGGGCATCTCGTCTGAAAAGAAGATGGTTACACTGATCCTGAGTTTAAATAGGGGCAATCACAGTGTTCCTGGGTCTAAATAGAGGACACTCACACTGATACTGGGTCTGTATAGAGGACACTCTGGCTGATACCGGTATGATTCGACATGCACTGATATTGTGTTTTTACAGAGGATCCTCACATCAGTACTAGATTATATTCCCTCCCTTCTTGCATTTTTCTCCTCATTTCCCTTTCCTCATTGCAAGTGAATTTAATGAATTGTGGAGAAAAAAAATTAGATTGGTTACATTTATGAACGCCAGACTGTCTTGTAGAATTGGTTGGAGAACCCACTACTTAAAAATATGTTGTTCCTTTGTGAGGCAACAAGACACAACATGGCATAGAGAAAAAGACTTAAAGAAATTAAAATAAAGTATGAGGGAGCTTTTTTCAGCTTATCAAATGCAGGGGAAGTATCAGGGACTTGAAGAAAACCAAACATAATTCACTGAGTCAGAAGTGGTTAGCTTGACATCTATGATTAGAGTGTATGTTATAAATAGGAACTTGCCAGTAATGAGACTGAATGTGACATTTTTAACTTTCTATTGCTCTTTGCTCGATTTTGCTGGGCTGTAGCAGAAAGCAGGAGACATATCTTTAATCCAAGGTGTTGCCAGTTTTGTTATTTGTTTCTTGAGAAGCATGAACATAGTAGTGATTTGATCAAAATTTTTAACATGATCAAGAGAATACATTGACAGTTTATTCATTGTTAGTTTATTCAACTAAATCAGCTTTTTTAAATTCATTTGTGGAATGTAAGTGTTGCTGGTTGGCCAGCATTAATTGCCCATCCCTAGATGCTTTTGAACTGAGTGGCTTGCTAGGCCATTTCAGAGGATAATTAAGAGTCAACTGCATTGCTATGGATCTGGAGTCACATGGGCCAGATCACGTGAGAATGGCAGATTTCCTTCCCTGAGAAATATTACTGAACCAGATTTTTTTTTGCGACAATTAGCAATGCTTTCATGGTCATCAGTAGATTATTAATTCCAGAGGTTTTTTTATTGAATTGAATCTGCCATGGTGGGATTTGAACCCGGGTCCCCAGAGCATTAGCTGAGTTTCTGTATTAATAGTCTAGCAATAATATCACTAGGCCATCAGTTATGGAATACCATGAGTCACAATTTCAAGTTTTATAAAGCCTGAATAGGTTGTTCAGGAGATTGTTCTTTTTTCAGAGCATAATGAACCTCTGAAACAGATTGCCATCTTATCTGGTGGAAGCTGGACATGTTCCTTGCTTCGGTAAAGATCACCTTGTACAAAAACTAAATTGAGTATTCCATTACTCAGGGCAATTGTAATTTCTTGAATTAGTTTGTTTGCCTATGGGCTTCTGAGAGACATTTTCCATGATTTCTTCCCTAAATAGATCCAGGGATTGTGTCACTTTATATGCATCTTTCAGGAAATCACATGGGATATGGAATCTATTTATGGTGATGTTCAAGAATTATATTTAACATGGAAACAGAACAATAAGAAACATTTGAACTTCTTTACATGTCTGCAAAATATATAATTGATTTTAAAAATGTTTGAAATCACCTTTTAATTCTTGAGTATCAATTGTGAAGAAATCAATAGTAGTTTTCTTGAATAATATGAAATCTTGGCCGATGTGACCTGCAACCCCTTGACCTGGAAGCTATACCAACAGGAAGTTAACATAGAAACATTGTGTGGTTGGTAGACACAAAGCAGTGCTCCAAGCAAATGAGAGGTTCAGCAAGAGAAGAACAAAGAAGGTACATTTTCAATGAGCTGTTTATGTAATTCTGGTAAAATGTATGTAGTGATTATAATGAGGTCAGCCAGGTGGACCTCATAGAATATGCGTTCCCTGATTGGGGCTGTTAATCTGGTCCAGTCAGCAAGCTTAGCTGACAGATAAAAACAGGAGTGTCATATACTCTGACACCCTGGGAGTTGACTGACGAGGCTGTACCAGAGTAAAGGATTTCCTAATTATAAATAAAGAGTGACTTTGCAATGAGATACTGGCCTATGTGGAGTTATTTCAGTGGCAATGAGAGTTAGCCAAGTCCTGAAGAAACTTACTCACAACA